CTTCAACTGGCTGCACAGTGCAAAAAAACCAGCCAACAGTTAAATTTAACTTACATTGCAGAAGTTTACTTGTATATAGGTCTTGCCAATATTTTGAAGGCTTAATTTTTTTCACATTCATTAGGAAATCCTTCTAACTGTGAGCTCTTTCACTGGCATCCATCACTCGATCAGTTCCTCAGGCAAACTAAACTCTTGCTAGAGAAGTCTTTTTATATAAAAATTTTCACAGAAATAAATCCTGCCCCCCACCAATATACAGTACAGGTAACTTGTAAAAACTATCTGGAATTAAAAGGATAATGGGTACAATTGTCTTTCAGTAACAGTTATTAATGCAAAGAACCTAGCACATGTTTTTAGTATCACACAGCTTTCTGTCTGTTTTTTTTTTTTTTTTTAACAAAATGGACAAGTTCTTCTAAGGCATGCAATGTTTGAATAAACAAAACTGTCTGTCATACTGTTTGGAGTCTACAGTAGAGATACAAGGGGAGAAGACAGCATTTGACTATGCTTCTACAGCTAAATGGCAAAAACTACCTAGTGAGAATTTGCCTAATACTTTTAGCACTAATCCAGCTATATATGTCCCCACACAAAAGCAGATAACATGTCCACTACCATGCTAATCACGATTAGACCAGAATTAGCTGTCATAGTCTAACATTACTGTATGTGTAGGCAATTCAGTATTACATCATAATTTGACCTCTTTTTTTTACAGGGGGAAAAAAGAAAGAAAAAGAAGTAACTGATTTCCCAAAAACTCGCTACCCATGGGAAGCCAGCACAGCTTGGAACAGAAGAAATTTCAGGGTAAATTTTCCAACTGCTAGGAAAAGGTGCTACATTTAGTTCAGGGGTAACACGAGTCAAAGACCAAGAACATCTTGGGCCTCCTGCTTGCCGATAGCTGTACTTGTGTCATGTTTCCAAACTTTCCTCTTTAAAAGCAATCCCACCAAATATCAGAGGTAACACATTCTTAGATAGTGTCTTCACATGCCTTGAGCTTTTATTACGACTGTCACCAGCTCTTACCTTACCTGTTCTGTTTCCATTCCACATGGAATTGCTTCACCTGGACATGCCCTTCAGGATCACCTTTGACAAGAAGTTTTTGGACACGTGGGTTAACATGGAAAGCATTTTCACCTTACTATCAGTAAGTCATTGACTGAAAGATACCTATCCAAAATAAGAGGAAGTCTCAGTCAATGACTAAGAGAGAAAGTAAGGCAAGATGTGTTTGCAAAAGCTCCTCAGTCTTCATAACAATAACTTTAATGGTGAATGCTTTGCTATCATCACAGCACTTCCATAGTTAAGCTGGCACTTTAAAATGTAGTGGTGTGTGTATACATATATTACAGTAGAGCACTATGTGCCAGATCCAGTCGTTTCTTGAACATTCCACCACCTCCCTGGGCAGTCCATTCCAATGTTTAATCACCCTTGCAGTTAAGAAATTCTTCCTGATGCCCAACCTGAACCTCCCCTTGGAGCTTAAGGCTATGTCCTCTTTTCCTGTCACTAGTTGGGAGAAGAAGCTGGCTACGACCTCCTTTGAGGTAGTTGTAGAAAAAAATAAGGTCACCTCTGAGCCTGCTCTTCTCCAGGTTAAACAATCCCAGCTCCCTTAGGAGCTCCCTGTAGTCCTCTTAGGACTTACACTCACCCTTCACTAGCTTTGTTGCCCTTCTCTGGACTCACTCCAGCACCTCAATGTCTTTCCTGTAGTGAGAGTCCCAGAACTGGACACAGTTCTTGAGGTGCAGCCTCACCAACTTGATCCAGGTCTAACTGACCTGCTATCTGTGACACAGTTAAGTTCT